TCTACCCTCCCCACAATGCAATTTTCTTTCAGTCAATGGATTACAGAGGAAAATGTGATGGTCTTGGTAAAGAGGGCCTCTACATTTGTGAGGAGGAGAATGGAAAGGGAATTAATACTTTTTCTTTCCCAGAAAATATCAGATGGTAGCATTAATGTCTGAGACCAGCCTATCCAATTAGCCTCCTGCCAGGGTAAATGCTGATTATCAATACACAGATGCCATTTCTATTGTTGCAGTTTATTAACACCAAAGAGAAAATGAATCAGAGTTTAATTATGAGAACAAGGCTGTGCAAGTGGAAATGAGAGACTACAACAACAATAAAGAACAGAAGAAGAAGGAGAAAGAGAAGAAGGGGGAGAAGGAGAAGAACAAGAACAAGAACAAGAAGAAGAAGAAGAGGAGGAGGAAGAAGAAGAATTTAGTCTGCCAGTTGCATAACATAGCAGTGACAACTGGCTCAATATTTTTCCCCACAGAATTGAATTTAGGGGCACTGAATCAACCCATTACTTTGATATTGTGTAGCTATATCACCTCACCACACATTTCCTTAATAGGTATGGTGATGCTTCTCTAAGCAAGAAGTTCATTGCCTTACTGAGTTGTCCTACCCAGTGATCCAGTTTGGTTCTTCCACCTGCCAACTCATCCAGATGACTTTTATCATGTCTGTTGACAAGTACATGAGGGTTTTACCCTCACAGCTAAATTGATTTTGCCTTAAAAAATTCTTTCCAACTTAATAACCCAACTTCAACCTCTGGGATGCATTAAACAAAAGAAAATATGAATTAAAAACCTTTGGGAAAGATACAATAAAACAAGTATCTTTCCAATGTAGATCCAACCCAATGCATTTAATAATGTAATGTCCAAATGAAAATCCATTCACTTGAAAATTCAACAAAACACATTTTAGCAAATGGTTCTTAATTTAGCAACTTGGTTATTGACTGAAGATTTGAATCTTTTTATGTCGTTATATGGAAAAAAGGCATCCCAACCTCAAGTCTTTCAAAAGTTTAACAGCAGCTAATCTGCTTTTCCAATTATATCATCCAAATATAAACTACTAGTATTTTCCCAATGAGGTTATTAAATAATTAACAGTCTACAGGCTGGCTAACAACATGCTTGTGGCTAAATTCTATCCTGAGGACCATACTAGTTATAACCTTTTCAAATCAATCCTACCTATGAAACTAAGACAATAATGTGACAAAACCACTAAAAAATCCAAAGTTAAATAAACATACAAAGCCAAGCCAACGTCATAACACAAACTTGTCAAACTCTCTGTGGTTGGAGCTTGGGTGACAAATGAAGCCATAGTGGTGGCCCTACCTGGATCACTTTGCAGGGCTGAGATCCTTCTTTGTACTGCTCAGGTGGAGCTGCTTGTTCTGTCCATTACCCTACCTCCGTGTGCTTATTGAGATGTGTCTCACCAAGCTTCCAGCAAGGTCTCAAGGCAGGATATCTCACTGCCATCCACATGCCCTGCATCCTGTCCACAAACTGGTACACTGAAGAGGTTTACTTGACAAACTATCTCAATCCCTCAAATACCTGCACACTTACAACACACATTATTGTTTACAATGTGATGAATAGAGTGCCTAGAAAACAGCAACAATGCTTAATCCTGAAAGTGAAAGATATCTCATTTCCAGAGACAGGAAGGCAATTCATCTTCCGTGTTTAATTTGTTTCTAAACTGCTTTACAAATGGGTATAGTAAATAATCTGGTGGTAATCCTGAGCTCAACTGTCAGATTTGATAATTGTGCTGCTGACTTGACACACACTACACTCAGTCACCAGAGGTGACATCAGGCAGCAGGATTCTCTGCTACCTCCCTGTTGTATGTAAAGTAGACATAGCAACTCACTGAAACTGGAGCTACAATCTTATATCCATGAGTCAATATGATTGTTTTTATGGGAAACTGTCTCTAGCATTCTAATATCTAGTTTCTGGAGGTTTAATTTCTAGAAGAATCTGCTCCTAAATCCGTGATGGTCTAGGAATGTGGTCTAGGTTGAACTTGTAAGTCAAGCCAGTGGACTTCATTATGCACGTAGGGCAAAATTAAGGTTAAAGTTGTATGTGAAATACAAAGTTTATTCTTATTTATTATTTATTGTATTATTTTCCATACAAACAACTGTAAAACTACTTTTGCCCTACCCTGTATAGTAATAGTCAGGCACTCTACCTGGTAAGCTATTAAAAACAGAGAACTTGAGTCAATGCAAAGCCATCAGCTTAATTTGTATATGTGACACCCACCTTAGGTGGTTGGACTCTTTCATATTATTATTTTCCTCATTTAAGAGACTCAGAAAAGATTCTCTTAGGTTTCATTTAACTGTGTGTGTGTCTGCATGTGTTAGTGTTGTTGCTGAAACTGTGAACATAAGGCTCAACCACACTGGGAGCATAAAAAGTTCTGGGTTCAGATGCTGGGACACTCCCAGACATCATTTTAACAATGTGGCCTCAGCCATTGGAGTAAACTGTCACAACATTATTATATAACAAAGGACCTTAAACCCAAAGATGACGAGAGCAGAACTTAAGTCTGGCTCTTTTGCAACTGTGGAGATATCTAACCTTGACAATAAGAGTGCAGAGTGATCCTTTGCTGTTTCAATCACAAACTTGCATGACTTGGTTTAAAAGCCATACAACTTCACATCTTTCATGTGCACATATCTATTATTTAACTTGTCACAACTCAGTGAACAGAATTCAATAACTCAGCAAATTAAAGGCTATGAGGAATTATATACTGACAGGTAGTTATAAAGAACTAATGTATGGATAGTGTCTAGTACATGTGGGGGATTCTTTGATGAGCTGGAACACCAAAGATGATATTTGCTTTGTAATGTTTAGGGCCATAAAACGAACATAACGGGTGGGGATAATTGCAGCTGATCTGGAAATGTCCAAATTAGGTGAACCATCCCTAAACTTCAGGATTCTTTCAAAATTATGTAGGTTAAAGCATTGCCCCAAGAATAATGTTTTGTTAAAAGGCTAGCTCTACTAAGAAAGTTTGAACTTATCTTTGAAGTTTAAATGGAAATGATTCATACTAATAGAGACTTAAATAAAATCAGTGATTGGATTTCAGTCAAAATCTAATGAGCCCCCAAAAAAGGAAAAGAAAAGAAATAGAATAGAAAAAAGAAGAAAGAAACCCTGTAAAATAGAGATTAGGGACAATAATTGGGGAAGTCCATATTTTAAAACCCCTAGAAAGCAAACTATATATTATTACTTCTAGGTAGTGATAATTTGACTTTTGTTTCCAGAGATTTGAGCAAAACGTAGTAAAATATCTTGCCAGTTATGGACCTGCTTACCAGCTGCAAAAGAAGCAGAGGTATGAATTCCTTGGTAGTTTACCAGACTTCCTCTCTCTCATCTCTAAAACTGGAGTGTAGCACTTTGGCTGCTAGGGAGTGCATCCACTAAACTGCCCCTCAAGAGGAGAGCTTTACACAAAGATAATCCCAGGTGAAAATTTACACTTAAAATCATGGAGTTAAAAAATATTTATGCCAGTTGATGCCTTAAAAGTTGTTGAAGTAAATGTTGCCACTCCTTCTCATAATTAAAAAATTTTAAATAGGGAATCAGGTAAGGGGATGTTAACAAAAATGTCCTATGGTGGTGTGCCACAGTATCATTTTAAGAGTGGCATTGCTATATTTATTTATTTTCTTAATACTCTTGATTTTATGATATTACTACACCATCTAACTAGTGGATTTTGACAATGAAAACTCTCACCTGAAGACTGAGTCTGTGGGAACCACAAAAGTTTAAAATGGATTCTGAAATACATTCTTTTCTGGACATAAGAATATAATTTGGGGAATGACTATTGCTGAAAATTTGAATACTTGTAGGTCTTTCGTGTCATATATATATTTCTCAGAAACTTGTTATTATCACAAGTACTTTCCATTCTTTGTTTTGGGTTGTGTGGACTTAAAACAATACTGTAGGGACTGTGTCATTCCATCCAGCACAAAAGGATGGTGGAATCTAAGAAATGCATACAAAATACTAAAAATGACTAAGTAATAAAACATACACTGTTCTCAAGTTGTAGTGTCCACTTACAATGATTTCTGTTTTTCACAGATATCAAGAGAAGCACAAAAACAAACATAAAGAGAACTTTCCCAAATGAGTGGATTTCTACCAGTAGCCATTGGTAATCTGGTAGAGGTAGAAGAGTGATGGGTGGTAATACTGGCGATGGGGGGAGCACCCACTACAACAAATGGGCATCGATGCGCAGCCAACACAGTCCCTGGCGAACATAGCGGACAAGATTGGTCATGCTGCTGTGTTGGGTCAGAGGCCCCATCAATGTGTCCAGATCGCCAAAGAATTCTGAAAATCAGAGCAGATCTTGGTCAGGTCTTTACATTATATCATGAAAATATACGCCAGATTGCTTAAGTTGACTTCATGCAACAACATAACTATGCGGACATTGGAAAAGTTATTCATTGCTTTTCATTCAATGAAAATTTATAGAGTATCTACTAGGGGACTAAAACCCCATATGTATATGAAGCACTATTATTTTAATCTTTAGTTAGATCTCTGAAGCATAAATAATGTTTGTGTTATCGTGATTAATAAAACACGAATTCATTTAAATCTACTAATTTGTAGTAAGTTTGTTCAAATTACTATATACTTTCTTAGCAATTCTAAAAGTACATTACGATCTCGTGGAGGTTTGTGAGATACACACACACACACATACACACACATATCACAATATGCATATATTGTAATTAAAATATACTTGCCTATATATTTATGCTTATATAATAAATATATATTATATTATGTATACATTTAAACTATACACATAAATGATGTATATAAAATAAAAATGTATTTAAATATATTTTACATACTTGTATTATGTATTAAATTTATATTTTCATGTTTTATAATTTGGAAAGGGATCATTATACACAAAATGGTAGAGAGCTATGGTCTATATGACATCAAGCTGTTAGTCATTCTATATGGTATTGAATTGAAAATATTCTCTCTCTTTTTTTCGTCTAAATAAACTGAGTTTAGTGAATTTTCTTGGCATGATGTAGACATAGCCAGTGAACATGGACAGCAATTATAGCCGTCAACATCTGAGGCCAAATAAACGTCTTGGAGGCATCTGATTTGGTAAGTAAGACTTATTATTAATTCCTTCAGGGAAAGAAAATGACCTTCAAATATGTGTTACATAACTCTCCCTGTCCCCCAGGACACAGATGGCAAGAATGCCCAGGTGATTCTCCCCCAGCTGACTTGGAGAAAGGGAAACATTGAGGCCACCTACTAACCAATGTAACCAGAGCATTATAATTTCTGATGGGGTTTAGGGTGGGGGTTGTGATGTCTGGAAACTAACTAGGTGTCTCCTTTCCATGTCTAACTTGATTTGTATAGCACTTGTTGATCGTGGTTATGCGAGGGCTCTCGTGGTTATTTGTTAGCTTCCCACAGAGGAGGCAGCTTCAGCCATGAAGAAATCACACCTATGGTGGTTGGGGGTGAGGTATCTGGGGGGAGGCTGGAGACTGTCTTAAAGTGGTCAGGATGCTCTCTTGCCTTCTTGGAAAGCAATTTCCATGCATGGGTTACATGTGCTTGATTTTCTAGCAGATGGTATTTCACTAAACCGTGCAATTATTCCTCAAGTTATGCATAGCATATGGGCACCTTCTCTAGGTATCAACTTCATTGACTATGTGATACTTTTTAACATGTACTATACAATAAAAGTAATTTCTGCTGATAAAGGAGTAAATTATTGTTGGCATCTATAATACTTTCTTATGCAATACAATATTAAGGGAAATGTTAAAGGACCTAGTAACTGTTGAATGAATGTGAGCTGCATATGAGCCAGGATTTCCCACGGGTATTCTATAGAAAGCCTGCTGTGACTTTCTTAACTAGATATCCAGGTCACCATTTTAATATCTGTTTCAAGTAAGCAGCTAGGGAGGTAGGGTACAGGGCTTCTAGACCAAAGGCCAGAGAGTAGCATCAGCCTTATTGGCTCATTTTAGCATTAGAATCTTCTGCAGTAAGTCATCTGCAGCTGCATGGGTGGGCAAGCACAGGGCAGAAATGGAGACCTTACACTGAGAAAGCCAACCTCACTCATCTCCATTACATGATTAAAAAGAAAAAGGTAGAAGTACACAGTTGTCTCTAATGCCTCTGTTTCCCTATCTCTTTGTGGACAAGACAGATGTGGGAAAAATCCCCAGCTCTAAGTAGTTCAGAAATGACACGTGTGAAAATCAAGGCTGCAAACAGAAAATTCCAAACAGGCCCTCTCTCCAGCACATTGAACAACAATGTGGTGATTGGGGGGTGGGGAGTGAGTGGAGGTGGAAGAAGGCATAAATGGTGATGGAAAAATAAAATAAAATAAAATAAAATAAAATAAAATAAAATAAAAACATAAAAGGAATTATCTTAACAGATTTTGAAAATTGATGTAATTATGAAGGAAATCTATAAATATTGAACTGCCCTCCAGTTACTGATACAAAATAAGATAGTATTGGAGGCAGACAAGGTAGCCAAGTTTTAAGATGCTTGTGCCTTTGTTTGCAATTCTAGAACCATTGGCTAGGCCTGGTTGCCTGGACCAGTTGTCTTTGGATTTCCAGAAGCCTAGAAAAGTAGACAAGTTAAAAATTGCTCACTACTCAGGTAACTGAGAGCAGGAGTTCATGGAAGGTATCTGAGGACCCATTATTAATATTGATTTGTATCCTGGCTGGGATGGTTCAGTGGTTGAGCATCTATCTATGAACCAGGAGGCCATGGTTCGATTCTCTGTCAAGGCACATGCCTAGGTTGTGGGCTCCATCCCCTGTAGGGGGCGTGCAGGAGGCAGCCAATCAATGATTCTCTCATCCCTGAAGTTGATGTTTCTCTCTCTCCCTCCCTTCCTCGATCTGAAATCAATAAAAACATATTAAAAAAAAATATTGATCTCTAGATGGGCAGTATAGCCTATCGGTTAAGAGTTCAGACTCTGATATTGGACAGTTCTAGATTCAATTCCTGATCCTAACATTAAGAACTGTGTTGTATGGATAAGTTTCTTAACTTCACTGAACCTCAGTTTCATCATCTAGGAAATGGGGATAAAAGAGTGAACAAATGATAAAGCAAATAGTATAGTTACCAGCATATAGAAATTGCTACATAAACACATGTAACCAATATTTGCAAATAGTACCAGAAGTCAGTATAAATTTATAGCTGAGTTGAGGGTCAAAGTCTCAAATTATGGAATATGCTTTAACAGCCACAGAGTCTTTGAGTTATATAGACATACAGGGTGGCAAAGGTAGGTTTACAATTGTGAGTAAGCAAAACACAGAGTTTATCCTTGTATTAGTATTTATTAATTATTATATTATTTTCCATATGAACAGTTGTAAACCTAGTTTTGCCCCATCCTGTATAATACTATGGAGTAAGGGAAGATAATAAATATTTGTAGGATTTTTACCTTGCATCTGATATTTTATGCTAGTTGCTTTACACATATTATTTCATTCAACCTATCTTTATCATCCTTCTGGGTATTTTCATCATCATCATATTATTATATCCATTATAGAGATGGAAGCTATGAAGTAGCTCACAGATTTAAATAACTTCCTGAGGTGACCCAGCCAGTGCATGACCCAGGCAGGATTCAAACATAAATGATCAGGCTTCAAAATCCGTAACCTCCCTACTCAACTAGGACTGTTTCCCCACACACTCAGCAATAGTAGTAAGGGTGCAGCATGGAGGAGGCGTGGGAAAGCTGAGCTTCATTTCATAATCAGACACTGGAGAGTATGACCCCAGAGACTAGAACAGCAGCTTTTCAGACAGAAGAGAAGCAGACCAGAACCCTGGAGTCAGAGTAGAAAGGAAAGGAGAGCTACCTGGGCTGTGAGGACTCTGGGGCTTGGGAGAATTGGGCTAGGAATCCCAGTAAGTCTTTTGTAGTCAAACCCAAAAGAACTTCCATCTGCATCTAGGTGGACTGCAGCCCCAACCTGAATCCAGGAAAACCCCATCATTCACTGATGGAGATGTAGTAGCACCCAAGTATACTCCATGCAACTTGTACCACATCACGCAACAACAGCAGCCACTGGACCAAGCAGGATGCTAATGCCTCCCTATTCTTGACCAGACAGTTTTACTACTCCAAACTGCTAGTCACCTCTTTGCAGTTTGATTCCAAGAGGCCCACATCTGTTCCCACCTTGAGTGGGGTTGCACTGTCTATGGTTCCTGAGCCAGATTCAGCAAAGTCAAATGAATGGCCAGGGCAAAAGTGCTTTTTATTTTTATTTTCCACCTTCACTAGTATAGTGAGGCTTCATTGTGAACCTATGTGACAGCCTGAGTCACAGATGGCAGCATGAGTTACTAAAGACAACTGACTCACTCTCTGGTAAAGCAGGATCCTCCTTGCATTTGTTTTGTAGCAAACCTTATGTGTTATCATGAACAGATAGCTGTTAGTGTATTAAAAATACTAGCTGAGCTTTGGCCCTTGCTTCTGAATTCAAAATACAGTATCATGTACTCACTGAAGCTATCAATTATAATGAAGGTAGAAGGCCTTAGTTGAACCTCCTCTCTCCCCCCAAAAAGATTAAAGTTGACAACAGAAGCCAATAGGATCTTAATTAATTTACAAATCATTATGTTTTTCTTTGCCTGCTTTTCTGTGTTGATCCTTACCATTGAGTGAAAATCTGAAATAGTCATTTGCCAAGACATTCCAGTTCCGATTAGTTTAAACTTTAAAAGAGACTTAAATCCCAGGCTTTTTTCACCTTTTCAGAAAAAAAATTGATCACTGTGTTAGCACAGAGTTAACCCCTTCTTCTCTTCACCAGAGTCTGTGAACAATGGGTAGAGGAGATGAGCATACCTTTATTCTGTCTTGTCAGTTTGTCAGCCATGTCCCAGTGTTCGTAGCCCCGTAACACATTACTAGTGATGTTGACATGGCTGGCAGCCATGTGGTGAATGCGCTGGGGGATGGTGACTGGGCCATTGTTACAATTCCCCATTGCATTGATGGGAGAAATGTTGTTGAGAGACACTGGGGATGGAGTGTTCCTGGGGAATTGGAAGAGACAGGTTTTGTTAGTTTGGTTGGGAAGAGTGACAATGGGCTCTAGAACTCCCTCATCACACTGGGACCTCATGAGAACACAATTTGCCACAATGAGGTTTAGCATGGCGAACACATATGAAGCCCAAGTAGAGTGGAACTTGTTTCCACATCCCCACCGACTCTTATCGAATGACATCCTATAGTTTTGGCAACACAGTAGGTTTCTCCAGGTGCCCCAACATAGAGAGAGCTTATTATCTCCCCATTCCTGCCTCATCTGACCAACCCACACAGGGCTACAATGCCAGACTGTAGAATGAACCCTTCTACTTTTCTAATGTTAAACACTGAAGTTGCACTGCCTTTGACAAGCATTGATGACTTCATGCGCATTGCTACATTTTTAAATACCAGAAAGAGCTGGTAAATATTTTCCTGACATTAATTCTACCTATAAATGTAGCTCTTACTTTGAATATATATATAACAAGTGTTGTGATGTTTCAGAGAAAGAAATAGCTCAGAGATATGACAATTTTTCTACCTGCTGCCAGAAGGCTATCAGTGCCTAGAAAACATTTGATGTACAATATTGGTCTATTATCAAAGTGTTTTGTGGAAACCACAATGGCCAATTGCTCCAAATACAATCACCACAATGAGTAAAGTGCAATTATTAAAAGTCTGCCAAGGAGCAGTATTAGGCAAGCTGGAAAAAGTAAGATTCTGAAGATCTCTTTAGTATTCTTTAAGACATGTTACAGGCTATTAATGGCTATTAATTGCTGACTGTTCACACGCATGCTGGTTTATAAAGATAAATTTTTGGTGTTCCTAGTTTGGGCAGTATTAATGTTTGGAGATAATTTTTTAAAGTTCTTTAATGTTAGCAACAAGGAGTCACCTGCTGGCTGCTTATAGTATGGAAGGCCTGACATTAAGTCGCTCTGCTACAGACTTCCCTGGGGATAGTTCCAAAGGCATGGGTGGCTTCCTGTGTCCATAGATAAGGTCTGTGTGCACCCTTGGGCTCACTATACTCTTTCATCCAGACTGTGGAGTAGAGAGAGGTCCAAGCTAAGGGATCTAGGCACAGAAGAGTCAGCTAATGACATACACAAAAAAGCAGAGAATGCTGGATTTCTTTGTCATGGTAAGTTGCAAATGCTATTTTCTAGCCTTTTCCCCCAGTGTTAGTCATTAATTCTTAAATGTCAGTTTAAAGCAAGAAAAGAATATGTCCCCATTTGTAATTTCTAGAAAAAACTGCAAAGCTTTCAGGTGTCACAAATGTTGAAAGGGAACCATGTGTCCTTGGAAAGTAATGGACTTCCATGAGACCTGAATTCTATCCTGGGCTCTGTCATAAATTGCCGTGTGCTCTTAAGAGAGTCTCTTCCACTTGCAGGGCTTTTTGTCTACTGTAAGTAATGAGTAGTGGAGTCGAGGAGAGTAAGGGCATGGGTTTGCTTTCAATTATTGCTGATCTCACATGAGGTTCCATGAGCTGACCTTCCCATGAGCATGCCTGCATACCTCACTGTACTAATGAAATTAAAAAATGATAACATGCCTGAGAAATTGTGACTCCAACTCCAACTTGGCTTTCCCCAGTGCTTGGCATTCCTCATCCTATTCAAAATTGTTCTACTGCTCCCTGCCCCATTCCCAGAAGCCCTTTCTATCCCCCTTCCTTGTTTCTATTTTCTCTTTGACGTTTATCATCATTTAGCATACTGCATATTTTCTATTGTCTTTCTCCTCCAATAGGATGTAACTTTGACAAGGACAGGAATTTGAAAGCAAGTCAGTTTTGAATGATGGTCACCAGAGGGAATGGGAGTTCAGGGACTGGGTGAAAAAAGGTGAAGGGATTAAGAAGTACAAATCAGAATTTACAAAATAGTCACAGGGATGTAAAGTACAGCATAAGGAATATAGTCAAAAACATTGTAATAACTTTGTATGGTGCCAGGTGGGTACTGGAAGTATTGGGGGGCACTTTGTAAAGTATGATTTTCTAACCACTATGCTATACATCTGAAACTAATACAAAATAGTACTAAATGTCAACAGTAATTGAAAAATTAAAAAGCAGGTCTGTTTTTCTCAAAGTCCACTTTCCTTCCATTCCACCATGTAACCAAAAAGTCTTACCCTTCACTGTACACATTGGCTTATTTCCATTGCTCTCCCCAGGCTCATAGGTATCTCATTTATGTTCATACAGGCATAGTAGCTCAAGTTTTGTTTATTGTGAATGTTTCCCCCAATGAGCACCAGTCTCCTCATAATCCTTTTACTGACCAATGTCTCAAACAAATGGGCATATCCATTCTCTTCTAACCCTTTATATAATACCTTAGTTTTCCCTCTTAGTTGGCAAATCCCCAAATAAGTACAATTTGGCCCTTTACAGAAAATGTTTGCCAACCTCTGCTCTCTACCAAGTTGATTTATCTTCTTCCAATTGCTTTTTGCTCTTTCTTCCCCTACAGCCCTCAAGGTCAGGGGTGTTGCTTCTGGAAGATGCTATGAGAGGCCCTGTGTTGGTCCAGCTATCCTCATTCACTGCGGAAACCAGCTTTTGCTTGCAGACATGAAGGCCTCCTTAAACAGAGAGGCCTGAGCTCTTTTTCTTGGGCTTCCAGATAACTTTGTTCATACCTGTCACCTCCTTCCACTGGACTATGTGCTTCTGGAGTGCAGGAATCACACTGAATTCAGTTGTGTCCTCAGCCCCTCAAAAGGAATTTCACCTGAAGTGTTTCCTGAATGAACAGGATGCAACCTTTGGGGGATTGTTTTGAGTTCCCTCACTCATTAGTTTGCTTAAAAAATCATTTCAGGAGGCTTTTCATATGACTTCACAAGCTTAAGATATGTTTGAGTTCTTTCAGTTCAGAATTTATATATATAAATATATTCTCAGTGATCCTTTAATGGCTGCTTACCCAAACTTGCCCTTGATTTATTCTGCTCAAAAGTATGTGTCCACAGTCATCTATTTCACCATTTTACTACTAGCTTGGGGTGGTGAGGGTGGTATTGGCATCAGAGTAGAAACTAATGCTCAATCAAGTAAGCTCAGGCACATAGCCAGTTCATGGCTGAGCCAGAACTAGGACTCAGAATCTCCCTCTTGGAAGAAATAGCTCTTCAGATGGGCCTGGAAGTCATTAGGTCCAGCCCTTTGATTTTAGTGATGGAGAAACAAATCTAGAAAAAGGAAGAGATTCACTTAGCTTACCTTGGAAGTTAAGGGCAGCATCAGGACCAGGTCAACAGATTTCCAGATACCAACCCTACTCCTGGAAGACTGAGCTGCCCCAAGCACATAGAGCTCTAAATATGGCTGCAAGAGTGGATGAGTTCACTGAGCCTTAAATCAGCATTACAGTAGATGCATTTATATTTTAGGTCAGGGTATTTTAGTATTAATATAAAAATCATCATGAAGGCTCAGGTAATTGGCTAAGGGCCTTCATATTTTCAGCATTATTATGTCTTTGGTTTTATTAAATAGCACTTACCATATATCAATAAATATTTCATTGGCCTTTCATTAGAGTGAATTATTGAAAAATCACTACATTAAAGTTAACTTTTATCCTGCCTCCCTGAAATGGCTTGGGGTTTGCCATCTCATTAACAGATATTTTTAAGGCCATAATTTGGCTTAAAGATTAAACAGTTAAAGAAATTTTGAATCAGATCATGTTGAACTTTTCTGTCCTGCCATTAGCTAAAACCTGACTAGAATTTTGTGTGTACAAAAATTACTGTATTCATAAAATTGACCATTGCTTCTGAGTTGTCAATACAAAATATTTGTGGTCTATTACATCACTGATTTTCTGAAAAAGCAATTTTCATAAGATACTTACTTTCCATTGCCTACCCATGAAGATGGTATCTGAGTGACTTTTGAAGCATTTTGCTAAAAAAGAGAGAAAAAGAGGGAAATAAGGACACCTATTTGTGTTTTATTAATTCACAAACAGATGGAAGTGTGATTTAGAGTACTTTAGTATTGATTGCAGCATTTTGGGATGCCTCCTGTTTCGTTAGCAGAGCAGGGATGTATGTGCAAGTCAGCACACCAGGACACACACTCGATGAAAATAGCTTGTTAGGATAATTAGTGGGCTTCAATCAGGGCCATGAAAGTCACTTGATGAAAGATATTATATAGTAAAAGGCCCAGTGAAATCAGACTCAGTTCTCCAAGAGGTGGTTTAATTATCGTCATCTGAAATTTATTCTGCAAAACAAGCTCTTCAGAGTATAGGCAAGCTTTTCACCTTTAGCTCCAATTGCAAACATATTCCCTAGGATGCAAGATTGGCTGTAATTTCTGATATCTTAGGAATGTGCTAGGACCAGGCAATGGTTTGTGGTTTTTTTTTTTTTTTCATGAATTGACCTGATTTGCTATCTTTACATGCAAATCCTTGTGGCTGACAGTGTTCAATATTTAGCATTGCAATGGAATGTTCAACATTCTATTTTCCTCTGATGGATCTGGGCTGGTTTAAAGAATGTGTCTGCTGCATTTTAGTGGCCAAGCACATGTGGAGTACAGGGAAACCTGATACTCAGCATCACCACAATAGAACACATATCTAGTTCATTATAATGACTTTACCAGGTTGGAGCCCAAGTAGCACAGGTCCAGGATACTTGTGGCATTGAGCCTGATTCAGGCTTGCCTTTCTGGTCTCAAGGCCCAGGTTACACTCCTCTTCTGCCTCTCAGGTTAGCATCCAGCCCCCTTTGCAAATGGGGTGGTAGGGAGAGAGTCAGCACTTTCAGGAGCCTGGTGAGAATGCAACACTTTTCTGGAGCTCAGAGACCCATGCCTAAGTTACATTCTGCATACTCCAGGTTTTAATCTCAAAGAATGTCAATGCACTGCCAAAGGAATGAGTTATTAAACATCTGTTTGGTATTTTGCAATGCCCTGAAAGTTACACAGGACAGGCTTAAGAGGACAGCACTGGTTCCCAAACTGTTATCACAATACCAGCAGCATCAGCATTACCTGGGAACTTGTTAAAATGCCAATTCTCAGGCCCCATCTCAGACCTACAGTATCAGATACTCTGGGGGATGGGACCCAGTACTCTGGTTTCATGAGCCCTCTAGGGAATTGGGATGCTCACTTTTCTAGAGCATCAGCAACTGCATACATATGAAGGAATAGGCAGTTGTATTTTAACCTGTCCACTTACATAAGCACTAGCTTTATGGCATTATGGCCACACCACATAATAGCTAGTGAACTTGCTCTTTTCCCCAACCCAGTCAGTGTTCTCACATAGCTGCCTGTGCCCTGCCACTCACTGGGTTTGGATGATTGACATAAGGTCATGATTTAGTTCATTTCAATTTCAAACAACTTCTTTGGTGCAATTTAGCCAAATGGTCCCATGTAGTTGGCAAATAGATTAGATGATAGATGATTAGATAGATAGAGGTAGATAGATAAATAGATATAGTTAGATGATAGATAGATATAGATAGATAGATGATAGATTAGATAGATAAATGATAGATGATAGATAGATAGATATAGATAGATAGATATAGATAGATAGAGAGATGATATAGATAGATAGATATAGATAGATAGATAGATGATAGATAGATGATGATAGATAGATAGATAGATAGATAGATAGATAGATAGATAGATAGATGATAGATAGAGATAGATAGATTAGATAGATATATAGATAGATATATATGATAGATGATAGATATAGATAGATAGATAGATGATAGATGATAGATAGATAGATATAGATGATAGATGATAGATAGATGATAGATAGATAGATGATAGATAGATAGATAGATAGATATAGATGATAGATGATAGATAGATATAGATAGATAGATATAGATAGAT